CATGGCAACTTCCATACAGATTGTTGCCTGGCATAGCTATCCGAGCGCTCGTGACGGGTATCGCGAAAAGCGTATCCTCCCCTTGACTCCAATATTTTCCTAAACGCCTTGTAGATGGGCCGTGGTCAAAAGATTGCATGCCATCCTAACATAGCGAAGGTATCCAACCCTACCTCCGCTCACCGCGGCCTCCAATATTCTTCTCCTTCTTGCGCCTGCTGTTCTCGACGGAGAGACGCGCCTTTTCCTCTGCCTCTTCCTCCATCTCCCGATCGATCGCTTCTCTGACACGCATGAGCTCTTCCAAGGGTATGCCTTTGGTATCCACCACCACACTAGGTGCGCCCTCCAAGTATCTCAAATTTTCTAGCGCTTGCTCGACTAGCTTGTGCAGTTTGGCCTGCGAGTTCAGATTGTCGTGTCGTTTCGTGTTGTGCAGATCAGGGTATAGAACACCATCGCCGTTCTCAGCTCCTTTGAAGGCTTGGAGATAGGGAACATGGGCGGGTAGCTCGTTGTGGAGTGTCGCGCCTACACAGACAGAAGTTTCGTGGCACCATGTTCGTGCGACATTGCGCGGTGTATAGCCACCACCGCCGATGATAAGTAGAGGGCGACCGTAAGCTTTTACGGTTTCGACACAGTAGCCGTGCGCTTTGATATTGAGATTGAAACGACCGAGGCGGTCCCCACCAAGAGAGTCGGCCCCGGATTGAAGAACAATGGCTTGTGGATTATACTTGTCGATTACGGCACCTGTGACTGTCTTGAACAGCCACTTGTACTGGTCGTCGTCAATGCCGTCATCGATGGGAATGTTCAGACTGTGAGCTTTGCCGGGATTCCTGGGATCTACAGGACCCGTCTCGTCGATGTTTCCGGTACCTGGAAAGAATGGGTAGCCGTGTTTGTCTATGCCGTATTTATGGTACGAGAGTGTGAAGACACGATCTGTGGACTCAAACGCTTGCTCGACACCGTCGCCGTGGTGAACGTCAATATCGATATACAGGACTCGTTGGTTCCGCGAGAGTAGCGTTTGTATCGCTATGACAATGTCGTTGACGTAGCAAAATCCAGAAGCGAGATTCTTTTTCGCATGATGTAAACCTCCGGACCAATTGATGGCGATATTAGATTGATTGTTGATCAGGTTGTATGCGGCGCTCATCGTAGCTCCAGTGTAGAGCGATACGTAGTTCCAGAGTCCATCGAACACCGGACAATCGTTTGACTCACCACCGAAGCCATATGTTATGTATTGTGGGTCTTCAGGCTGCGCGTTTTGAGGTGTGATCATGCTGAGATAGTCTAGATATTCGCGGTCATGGAATATAGCAAGATCATCCTTACTCGCTGGTTTCGGTTCGAACAAGTCCATAGTATACTCTAGTCCATATGCAAGAACGAGTTGTTTCGTCAGCGTCAAACGCCATGGCTTCATTGGATGTGAGCTGCCAAAGTGATGGTACTCGACGTGTGGATTGTAGTGGAAGGATACGTTCCAGCCCTTTGGTCTTTCAAGGCCATGTTCCTCGGCTTCGCGGGCAATTACTTCTCTTTTCTCGGCATCAGTGAGCACCTTGAAATCCTGGTAGTTGGCGACCCAAGGATCGTCTGGAGAGAGGTACTCCTGCACGATGTTGCTGGGACCGCTGGGCGGCGCATAGTCGGTGACCCGCATATCGCGAAAGATGTGTGAAGAGTCGTGAAATCCCTCCAGAAAGTCCTCGCTAATGGAGCGTGTCTTTGGCGCACCTTCGTAGATCCAGCGATTTACGTCGTCTTTGGTGCTAACGAAAGTATTGATAAAGGAGTGGGGTCTCAGTTCCTCTTCCCGGCTGTTGTTCCAGCGTGCTAAGGTATCAGGGTCGGGTGCGGGGGGCGGAGCTCGATTGTCCTCTGCCGCAAGGTACTGCGCTTGTTAGTATATCTGCGAGAACAGCGAACACGATGTTCCGTAGCGAAAGTGTGCAGGGGGTCTCTGGAAACGACACTGCACGCGTACCTTTGGTTTTTGTGGAGGCCGTTTCTGGGCAGATTGCGAGGGCTCCTTCTTAAGGCTGTAGTTTACTCTAGCTGCGCGACGTGTGTACGGATTTGGCTTCTGCCACTGTGGTCCGTTGAGAAGTGTAGCGAGCTTCGGGTCCACACTCGTACCAGTGGACTCGTGGCTATATGGCAGGTGGCCCTGGTCTTCAGTCAAGTCGTCCCCTCGGCTGGAGTTATCAGCGTCGTCGGAACCAGGCTCGTTCGTGGTGGATGAGACGGGCTCGTATTCGGAGCCGTCGTCTGATTGGGTGTGATAGCCCTGCATCTTGCCGAACACGTAATCTAGCCTCTTTGTCAGCGGCTGTTCCTGCATGCCCGACGCGTTACAACAAGACTCCGATAGTCTGTCGCAACAGCTAAACTCACGATATAATCCGGTCGAGACGCGAGAAGAGGTTAAGAACTGGGATTTGAGTGCGACCAAAGTAGGAGTCTGCGGAAAGGTTTTTGCGCTTCGTCATTTCTTTCATTGCGACACGGCTCCTTCACTTGTAAAGCCATCAGCGCTCATCGATTTCCATCAAACTCGCAGGTGCAACGGAGAATACAGCGCTTGGTCTTTCTGTCCGCCGTTCCGAGCTTGCTGTCAACGGCGTCCTGGCTGCGCGCGACATCACTCGTCACGAACATCGCCACACGCGTCGATACGCCTAGCCATCCGACCTACCTGAAATCTCAACATGGCTATCGCGGAGGATGCGGCAACAGTACTCGAACAGTTCATACATGATGGTAACTTTGATCAGGGCATTGTGCGCGACTTCGCAACTAACATGTACCAGTTGCAAACCTTCCAGCAGAGATTACGCATCTCTACGAAGAAGTGCAGGCCAAGGACAACCAAATCCAAGAACTGAAGTCTGGCATACAGCAACGCGACGGCAGCATACAAAAATTCATCAAACTAAATGGCAGCCTAGTCGAGAACCCAAAAGAGGCTGGGTATTCGAAAACCATCATGGCAAACTATGAGAAGGCACAGATCCTGCAAGAGGAGAAGATAGGGCTTGTCGACAAGGCGGCTGCGCTGGTATGTCATTCGTAACGAATTATGTTACATCTACTTACGATACCAGCTCGACCGTCACGTAAAGCGACTCGATATCAAATTACGAGACCTGCAAAACGATGGTTCAATACCTACTGACCCGGAGATGCCATCACTTTTGAGGAACTCTCCAGGTAATTTGGTGCCACCAGCGTCGCAGTCGAATACAGGGTCCAACACACCGCTGCTCCCCGTGTCTGGCAACGGCGGTGGTGCTCCAAACCTTGCCCAGGCAGCTGCTATCGCACGACTTACTAATGCGACGAACGTAGGCCTAAACTCGAGGATGAATCCATCGCTGCAGAGCATGCAAACACAGGCGCTGTTGAACCAGCAACGACTCACAAACCAGCAGAGTGCCATACAGGCGAATGCGCGACAGGAGCGTGAACTCTCGGTAGGAAGCGACAGCAAGCGTCGCCGACCGACAGGAAGCATTGGCCCTCTCCCTGCAGCATCTTCAAACCTGGGCCGGCAAGGGTCCATAGGGCCCGGGACCCCGAAACCGTCCACACCTGGATCGCGCGCAGGCAGCGTAGGACCCCGGCCGCAGAAGAATGCACTCACAGTCAAAAAGGCGAAACCACAGCAACCGCTGCGCAAGGCGGCCCTTACCGCCAAGTCTGGGGTCAACAAGAAACGCCGCAAGGGTGGTTCACGAGCATCGCCCTCGACGACGGCGGACGATGAGAGCGTGGCAAGTGAAGCGGGCACCGAAGACGAGGACATGTCAGGCATGGGCGGCGGCGATGCAGAGGAGGACGAGTCGGATGACACCAAGTACTGCACATGCCAGCGCGTTAGCTTCGGCGATATGGTAGCCTGCGATAACGACAATTGTCGGTATCAGTGGTTCCACTGGGAGTGTGTGGGCATCAAGGAAGAGCCACTGGGGGATTGGCTCTGTCCAGAATGCCGGAACCAAGCGCCTTCGAAGATCAAGAGAGCTCGTTAGGGACGGTTCGGAGTAGATCGAGGGTCGGCGGTTGACACGTGATTGAGGTGCGCACGTGTTGTGGCTTGGCAAGGGTGCACTTGCTCTATAGCGAGCGGGAGAGGCGTCGACTGGGAACAGCCACCAGCGAGACGCGTGGCATCATATGTTCTATTTCTACACGGTAGTCTGTATATGATAGACTGTTCTATACCCCATCAATTTGCGTACTCGCTGCACGAATTTAGTTCAGTCTCCACAGTGTTGGCCCATGATCGCCGGGCCAGACCCGACGGCCGGGATGGCCATGGCAATCTCGTCGTAAAACGCGGACCTCTATCACGACGTTCATGGTACCGCTGCCCGCCACAGGACTGGCAGAACAGGAGTCCCAGGGCAGGCTGAATGTGACATTCACTATTACCAGGTCCCGCTATAAACACCACGGGGAGCGTCGAGCGGCTTCAGTGTTGAGCGCCCTTGCCATGGCCGCCCGCCTGGCTGCTAGCTAGCGCCTAAATGCCCCAGCCAAGGCCGCGCGAAAGGGGCAGCATCACCGACATTGGACAACAGCAGCGGGCAGCCTCATAAGTGTCGATGGCCCCGGCTGCTGGGTTCCTGCATACTCGTAGTAATATTCTGATCTGATTGTCGCTCTCTTGCACCGCACCTCGGCCTCTTTGACTAGACCGCTGGCGTGCATTCCACTCCCTTGGCTGGCTGACGTGCTGCGCTGCTTTGTTTGCATTCGCTCCTTCACCGCATCGCATTTCGGAACATTGCCGAACGCCCGTCGACTCCTACCACGCCTAGAGTTTCACCAGCAGCCCTCGCCGCCCGCCGCGCTCTCTGCTTTTGCAAACCTTCGCTCCCATCTGAAGCCCACTAACACGCCCCGATACGGATACGATCCCTGTGACAGCGGCAACCCGCGGGGTGAAACGCGACGCAACCACGATGAATGCCATGAACACCCGCAATGGCGCCCTGTCGCCCCTCTCGACTGACAGCCAAGAGTGGTCGCCCATCAACGGCTACCGGAACATTGGCGGCGACAATCCATACTCGCCGACCATCCCTCCCAACACATACGGGCCCAGCAACCCCGATGGCGGCATGCTCAATGGCATGCGCCCTGGCACCGGCAATGGCAACCCCTCGCCGCCCAGCTCAGTAGGCCGATCGAGCGACGGTACGGGCCTGTACGCCTCCAGCATCAGTGAAAACACGCGGCCCATGATAGACCCTCGGAAAATGCAAGCGCTAGAGGAGACCATGTCGGAACATTTTAGAGTGCTCAAGGCCTACTTGGGGCCGTATCTCAATGACGAGAAGGGCAACCCGCGCCCGAGCAGAGCCAAGGACAAGCTGACCCGCCTGTCTGCTGTGCAGTTCCAGGAGCTCAGCACCGACGTATATGATGAGTCGATACGCAGAGAGCAGGACCGCAAGCGGGGAGGCCCAGGAGCGCCTGGTAACGACACTCCGAAATACCTCCTACCCAAGAACAACTTCCACCCAAAACGTAATCAGGCGAGACAAAAGCTCTCCACCCTGCCTCTCGAGCGCTTCCGTCAACTCGCGACCGACGTCTTCTACGAACTCGAGCGCAGATTCCCGCGCTTCACCGGCGGCGACATTCCCCCACGATCCTCGAGCCCCAATGGCAGCATCGCGAGTCGCATAAGTAACAGAGGGCCTCCGAGTAGAGGCGGCACACCGAACAGCATGGGCGGACGACCTCCGCCAGGGCCAGGCTATCGGGGACCTCCAATGGGCGGGCCCATGGGCGGACCCCAAGGAGGGCCCCCAGGTCCACCAGGCGGGCTGCGGCCCGGTTCAAATGGGTCGGGTGGCTCGTTCGGGCGGCCGCTGCCGAAGACGTTCCAGTCGAATACGATCGTGCCGAACAAAGGAACCCTGGTCGAAGATGACGATGACAGCGGAGCAGATGACGACGATGCATTCAACCTGGAAGGCGCTGCTGCCAGGCGGCAGACAAATAAGAGCGCGAAAAGTATGAGCATGGCACAGGAAAAGATGACCGCAGATCTGCAAAACCAAGTGGCTGAGCTGCAGGAGAAGATTGGCTCGTTAGAGACCACCATACGGAACAAGGACGACGAACTGCAGCGACTTCAAGATACCGACAAGACACGCGACGGTGCCTCGGCTTCCGAGCGTGCCGAGTGGGATGAACTTCGGAGTTCTCTTGAATCAAAGGTCCAACAGGCTGAGAATCTCAACTCTTCACTTCGTTCCGAGATAGACAGATTGCGCAACGAAAACGAAGACGTCGAGAGCGACCTCCGTGCCCAGATCGCAGATCTCCAGTCTCGAGCACCTCAGCAAGTGCATGATAACGGAGACGGCGAATGGAGACAACGATGTGAGGAGCTTGAACGGGAGTTGAGCGAACAACAGCAGGTAGCTGAAGAAGTGCGAAGAGACGCAGCCATGTTCCTGCAAGAAATGAAAGAACTCTCTGCCCGCAGTGATGCGGCGGCCGAGAAGGAAGAGCAAATGGCAAATCAAGTAACATCACTCGAAGCGGAGCTGAAAGACTGGAAATCGAGATACGCCAAGGCAAAGACACAACTGCGAAACCTCAAGGCATCCTCTATGGGCTTGCAACAGCTCATGTCCCTGAACCAAACCAACATCACCCGCGATGCTGCCTTTACGACGCCAGACGGATTGGTCAAGGATGTACACATCACCAAGTTCCAACTGAGCATCGATGAGCTGCTGCAGACTGCGAGAAGAGCAAACTCAGAGCAGACTCTCGAGAGTATGCGCCATGTCGTCAAGTGTGTACGAGCTATCACTGGCGACATTGACAGCACTTCTCTGTCACAAGTCCAGTCTCCTACCAGCAGTGTGAGCGGCGACCTCTTTGCAAGCCCCGAAAAGCAGCAAGCAAAGCTCAAGTCTCGCGTCAGCGCTACGGCCAACAACCTCATCACTGCTACCAAGAACCACACGGCATCTGGTGGCCTGTCACCAGTCAGTCTTTTGGACGCTGCAGCTAGTCATTTGTCAACAGCTGTTGTCGAGCTGGTCAAACACGTCAAAGTCCGACCTACTCCAGAAGACGAGCTTGAAGCAGACGATGAGGATGCTGATAGACCTATGCCACTAAAGCCAGCTGGGCACAATAATTATAGTGCGTACTCGCCAGGCAACGACAACACCAACAGCAGCGGTGCGACCTCGACATACGGTCACCAGCGCAGTCGTAGTAGCAAAGGTGGCAGCAGTGACACTACCAGGTACAGCACCTACAGCTCTCCCTACAGCGGATACGATGGGCAAAGCGGAGCCATGAACGGTGCTAATGGAGCAGGCGATAGCGGTATGCTCGATTTCAAGGTACGTTCCAACCAATACCAGTAGTCAACCTCTACTAACATTGGCAGAACTACCTTGAAGATCAGACCGCACTCCTCGTCCAGAGCATACAGCCGCTGGTCAATCTCATCCGCTCGAACCCCGATTCTACACCTGGTGATGAGCAACAAATCTACGAATACATCCAGGACATCTCGCAGGCAGTCGACGACACTGGCAACAAGACCTACGATGCTGTGAACCAGCTCTCTGACCCTGCGTTAAAGAAGCACGCGCTTCCCGTAGTAGAGGTGCTCGATGAATGCAGACAGAGCATGCTTGCTGTCGACATCAAGGGTGGAGGTCGCGACAGAATTCCGCCGCTTGCATTCAAGACTGCTAGAGCTCTCAAGGTAAGCGAAACAACAGCAGCAACAGTAATCTCAACATACTAACGGTAATACAGGAGCTCGTGCTTCGCGTAGACCGCATCGAGTCTGGCGAACTTACTGTCGACCAGACGCTCAAGACAGAGCTATAGTGCGAAACACCGACGCACTCATTCAACGTATAATGCCAACACACTATATACCTTCAACGCAACCTATTTATTGGACTCGATCTTGCCGTTCCGGAACATTTTGGATCTGGCGCGGCGTTTACGGTGCTTTTCTTTTACAATGCCTCACGACATTCGCCGATCTCTGCTTTCTTGGCTAAAGTCGTGGCAATGCTGGATACCCGGCCTTCGACTCAATGGCAGGACACCAGAGCATGTTAAGATTTGGACTCTTTACAGGAAATATTATTAGTGTTTATTGCGGCGGTGATGGATACATGGGCTTCTGCCGGGCTCTAATGTGGGCATGACTTTCGGGCATGCGTCAGCCACCTTGAATAGTCGGACTATTTTGGCTGAGTTATGAGGTACTATGACCATGGACGGGCTGGGCTGTTGTATAGTAATGTAGCCGGGCTAGGAAAATCTTTAGGTAACAGTAGAATCACAACACATTTGAAGATGCTCAGCCAGCTCGATACCAGTAGTGCTTGCAGAAACGTGGCAGTGAGAGATGTGGCTTGCACCTTCCCCCACTTCACTGCCACATTGGACCCTGTTTCCACCTCGGCAATAATTGCCAACTTTTTCGCATCACACCTCCACAGCCTTTCGGTCCGTCCCCATACGCACCTGCTTAAGGTGAAGCAGTCCGGCTATGTAGTACTGAACCAAGAAAGTGATTGTATGCGATGACGTCACCATACAGCTGTTATGCGCGTGCGCCTTGGAGAAAAGATCACATGCACACAGCCACCACTGATAGTGCAGTCAACGATCTAGAATTGCTACAGCAGCTAGCACTTACACTTCATCTGAGATCGTATCCGCCCTCTTTCATCGATTCGGACGTCATTTCATGCCATACCCCACTAGCCACTGAACTTTGGGATAGGAGCGAAAGGGAAGAGCAGTGACAACATGGCGCAACAATTGCAGCCAGCATGGCCTGCCCAAAGACCGCAATACCACGACACGATCCTCACCATCACGAGCAGCAGCTGTGCGGATCCGTACGTACTCTGGGATAAAGGCACGTACTACATGACCTTCACCTGCGGCGGCCACATCGAGATCTGGTCCGCGGACTCACTCTTCGACTTTGAGAAGAAGTGCAAGAAGAACGTAATCTGGCGTCCTCCGCCTGACCAGCCCTACTCCGCCGACCTGTGGGCACCTGAACTGCATTCCATCCACGGTCGCTGGTATGTCTACTTCGCGGCCGACGACCCCAAGCATGGCAACAAGTCGCATCGCATGTTTGTCCTGGCAGGACCACCCTCAGAAGAAGACCCTCTGGAGCCAAGTAAATGGAACTTCTTTGGCCGACTAGGCGGTCTTCCCGAAGAGCAATGGGCCATCGACGGTACGGTCGTCACGCTAGGCGGCTCCATGCTCTTCGTCTACTCGGGCTGGCCCCTCGGCACCCACGCCGACGAGTCGCGACAAGAAATCTTCATCATCGAGATGGTCTCGCCGACAGAATGTACAGGACACCCCATCCGCATCAGCACCCCAGACCTGCAATTCGAGTTCTCAGGCACCAGCGGCATAAACGAGGGCCCGCAGTTCCTCTGTTCACCAGACGGCCGCTGGATGGGTCTTGTGTACAGTTGCGCGGGAAGCTGGACACACGAGTACAAAATGAACATCCTGTACTACACCGGCGGCCACCCGCTTGACCCGCACTCCTGGGCTAAATCCAATAAACCCCTTCTCAAAGCCGCTCGCGACGACTCTCCGCCTTACGGCCCAGGTCACGGCAACTTCGTCCTAGTCAACGGGCCCGGCGGCCCAGAAGTCTGGGGCTGCTTCCACGCCACGGATGCAAAGACTGGATGGGAAGGTCGTAAAGCCCGCATTATGCGCGTGGGATGGGGTCAAGGAGGTCCGTTCATGGGCTCGGGCGAGTGTGGGAGATGTTGCGGCGAGGTTGAGCATTTTATCCAAGGTTGTCCTGGTGGTACTTGTGGTGGTCAGGGCCATTGTGGTGGGGAGGGCGGTGCTGGTGGAGGGTTCATGCAGCCGGGACATCAGGGTGGGAACTCGACGGATGACATTAAGAGGGAGGTTAAGAATTTGATCAAGGGTGGGAAGGGGCTTGTTAGTAAGTTCCTTAAGTAGGGTTATGGGATGGAGCGGTGGTGTTGAGGCGCATCTGGGAGTGGGGACGTATTAGTCGTGTGTGGACGGAACAGTGAAGTTTGGTGTCAAAGGTGTGAGGCTGGTAGTTGTGTACGAGCTAAGCAAAGTGGTGTTTTCGGGTGAGAGGATGAAGCACGCGCGGAGTCGTAGGCATGAGTGATCACTTTGTCTTGCGCTCAAATCAAAGTCCGACTCTCAATATGCTATCACTCATCAAAACAATGTCCCTTTCCCATCCATAGTTGTAGTAGAGCGTTGCTTCCGCCTCCGCTGCGGAGTGGAATGCCGCCGAAGCCGCCGCGCGACAAGAACGGAACGCACTCCGGGAGCGTTTGGCCCCGGACAATAAGTTGTCCGACTACAACGGCAGCAGGATGCGGCAACTCTAGTATGCCTGTAGATGTAGTGTAGCATAACAACTTGAGCGTTTTCACACTGATTTTCTCATCGTCATCCTTGTTAGTCCGCGTCCGGATGTCGGAACACGATCATTCCGAAGCCGATGGCTATACGCTATACGGCGGACCAAGTTGTGCATCTCCCGATCAGATTGCGGAGACGATGCCACTGTTGAACTTGGAAAGTACAAGTACTGCTCGACTGGTTGCGGGAATTCATCTACAGTCCAAGCATTTGGTATACAAGTAAAGTGATACTTCATCCCAATCGTGTCCACCACAATACAACTACATCTCCATCTACCACCCAAGCCTACCCAATTCCCCTCCTATCACCATGGCCAAAGTCCAAGGAACATGCGACCCGCGCTTCGAGAAAGTAAAATCCGTCTTCCAATCCTACCTCGACTCAGGCGAAGAGCTCGGCGCCTCCATCTGCGTTAATCTCGACGGGAAAGAAGTCGTCGATCTCTGGGGCGGCTACGCAGATGAAGCCCGAACACGGCCGTGGGAAAAAGACACTATAACATGTATTTGGTCGTCTAGCAAGACTATCTGCGCGCTGGCGGCTCTCGTGTGCATCGACCGGGGTCTTCTGGATCCGAACGAGAAGGTATGCAAGTACTGGCCTGAATTCGCCGCGAATGGGAAAGAAGGGGTGGAAGTACGGCACTTTCTTTCGCATGCGAGTGGATTGAGTGGATGGGAGGAGCCCGTTACGATTGAGGATGTGTGCGATGTGGAGAAGAGTACGAAGTTGTTGGAGCAGCAGGCGCCGTGGTGGGAACCTGGTACTGCGAGCGGATACCACGGACTCACAATGGGCCATCTCCTCGGCGAGTTGATCCGTCGGGTAACTGGGAAGCCGATGGAGCAGTTCATCACTGAGGAACTCGCTCGTCCACTCACGGCGGACTTTCAACTTGGTATCCCGGAGAAGGAGTGGCACAGAGTCGCCGATATTATTCCCCCGCCAGCATTCCAAGAGCAGATGGAGGGCCTTGAGCTTGACCAAAACAGTCTGATGTTCAAGTCCATGGGCAAGAACCCCGGCATGGACGCTACTTGGGCCAATTCATCGGTCTGGAGGGGTTCAGTTGTTGGCGCGGCAAACGGATACAGCAACGCCCGCGCTCTCGTTCGCCTCCTCTCGGTCATCTCCCAGGAAAACCCTTCTTTTCTCTCCGCCGAAACTCTCGATCGAATCTTTTCGATTGAGCAAGATAACGAGAAGGATCTCGTTATTCCTGGTAAGGTCCGTCTTGGACTAGGGTTTGGATTACCAGCTGAAGGAAGCGTACTGGCTGATCTACAACCGGGACGGGTGGCAACCTGGGGTGGTTGGGGTGGAAGCCGGGTCATCGCTGACGCAGACAGGAAGATGACGTTTGGATATGTTATGAACAAAATGGAGGCAGCCGGATTGGGGCAGGAGAACAAGAATGGCAAGGGTGGCATGGGTAATGCGAGGACTGCGGCGTATATTGCATCGGTTTATGAGGCGATGGGAATCGTGGCTTGAGGACACGTCTTGCCATCTAGTCATGGGTTGGCGGTGCCTTGCTTCTCGGAGCTTTGCCGCTGTTGTTGTTGATTGACCACTTGTTTTGGCCATTCCATCCATTCGGCCCAGTAGGATCCTAGGAAGTCATCTACTACACCTACGATGCTCGTGCCGCAGCCTGCCGTCCACCAACCTGTGTGAAGCTGTTCTAACAGTGCGCCAAAGTAAGCAAAGATGAGTAAAGCTAATGGCTGCCGCTGTTGCTGCAACTTGAAATATTCTTTCGGTACTAAAGATAACCAAACGAACGGCTGTACCAATCGCGACAAAAATCGTAAGTCAGTAAGAGTGTCAAGTAGACATGGAGAGCAAGGTTCAGCAACTTACAGCAGACCAACTACCGTTATATCCCCATTCCTCTTGGTGATCTTCCCAGGTTTTCCGGAAATGAAGGACCCATGCACTCATCTTCCTCAACAAATACAGCGTCTCGTCGTATACTGCCTTATTCCCATCATCAGCCCATGTTTGCTTGATGCGGACCACATGCTGATCATCCGGTCCCGGCTGCGTGTTAGGATCCATATCATCCCAGTCCTTCAGATGGAGCGTTGATTTTAAAGGGCCCTCTTTGAGATGTTCGTAGATAGGGCCTATCACAGCCTGAATACCGCGCACAAGAGGTATCCATTCTGCACCCAAAATACGCGATGTCCGTATTGATAGGCTATCGTTGGTACTGTCGTTATCTTGCTGTTTGTCCGCGTTGGCATCTGAAAGCTTGGAAAAGGTACAGAAAGCGTAGAAGAACATGAGCGTTGAAGTAGCAAAGACCGCTTCAGCGTTGTGCGGGCCAATCGCATCGATATCTGCTCTAAACCCGCTGAGAGCGACGGTGTGATGATGCGCTGCGATCTGGAGATTTGCGCGTCTGTCGTCAGGATTGAGATACGCAACGTGTAAAGCGGAGAGACTGATGAGACAATGCATCATATATGCATGTTTGTATGCTATTTCTGGGAAGACCACCTGCCACAGCTGGGTGACCGCCGGCACGCCGGGTAGTATGGAAAGACTGGTAGCCATTGTCCAGTGATGCAATAGGGACATATCCTTCAGAGAGAATGAAGGGATGATCTGGGTCTCCGAACATGGTGTGCTCGCTGCGAAAGGGTCGTTCTGAGGGGACGCTAGCTGGAATGCGTTCGGAGTTGCCGGTGTTTGAGCACGAGAAGACGCGTGTTCAGTCGAACTTTTGGCTCGCACGGGAATGTATTCTGGGTATACACAGGCAACCTCATGCCTCACGCAATGCGAACATCGCGGTTTTGCTTCGTCGCACTATCGCGCGCGTGTCAGAATGGAGGTTGTAGTACGACGTGCTTCGTACCTTGATCCGGCGGCGTTTGCACGTGGCACAGCCGGTCCGCGATTTCGAGTGGGCTTTTCTTTTCAGAGCCATTGGAATTGGCCAATTGCATCAAGGGATTGATATTATAGGCGAGGAAGAAGTAGTAGAGAGGCTCTGCGAACGGCAGCAACGCGAACGAGAAACGAAGAACGAAATACGATGAAGCTAGAAAAGGTTGGTACTAACCCGGTTGGTGAACCTCGGCCCACTCGGCGAGCGAAACCTTCCATCCCGGCGACTTCCCCTAAACACCACAACAGCAGATTGAAAATGCACGCATTGATGTCTACCAAAAATTCAATGCGAGTTCTAGATACACAAGGTCGTCATAGTCGCAGAATATCTAAACGCCGTAATCATGCCACGCCAAACCCAAACGCGTTCCGAACGCCCACAACACCTTCTAAAGTACAATGTAACAGCAGAAATTCCATCACGCCCTCTCATACAGTCCAATGATCTCGCTATCCATCTTCTTCACTGCCCGATGATTCGTGCCAAACACATCATCTGCGCGTACAAAATGGAACAAGATCTGCACCAAGAACATAGGCAGCGTATCGAAAACATACATGTACACCTCATGTGAAGCCAGATACCCACTATGACCTTGTCCAAACTCGATGACGCGGAAGATGCAACGAGCGATAATGACAACCGCCGCGATGGCAAGCAGTTTGTACTGTCGTAACATTAGTACATCGTTCGTCAACGAAGGAAAAGCAACTTACCAAAGCGGGCCACGCATACTTCCCATACTTCGGCACCGTATACCTCTCAGGCGCACTCCTCATCCTAAAATAAAATATCGCACTAACCACGACAAAGAACCCGAAGAACGCCAGCTGCACAAACAGTCCCAGCAGCATTATCTTCTGTCCCATATCCGCCATGTCCGCCTGCGCCATCATGCCGCCGCCACCAGCCTGCATGAGAAACGCAACGACGTCGCCGCAGACGAATATCTTGGTTACCAGCGTGGGTCGGATGATGGATGCGTGTTCGGCGTTTACGAAGAGCACGAGGCGCCCGTAGATCATGTAGATTGTGGCGGCGTAGAGCGAGGGCGGGAGGATGATGAAGAGGGATTGCATGATGTAGGGCATCAACTCCGAGGGGGATTGCGCAGAGAGGTAGCGGGCTGCGTAGCCAATTGTCATCACTGGGTGGAAGTCGTTAGCTCAATGTGTTGTGAGAGGGAAGGGTGAGGGAGAGATGTACTTATTGATCCGATCACGAAGGCTGCATAGAACCAGGCACGGCCTCGGATCATCTGAAAAAGGTGGTAGAATGTGCTTAGGCCGAAGAGGACGGCAAAGAGGATGGCGCCGATCTTGCTGGGCTCGTAGGGGAAGAGAGCGTACGCCTCTGTGTCTGTTGACTTGTCGCCTGCCATTATGATGCTTCGGGGAGAAAGTATGGCTGAAGATGCCTAAGAAGGTTGACGCAGGGAGAGAAGGAGCGCGCCGTTACGCAGCACACGAGCAGTTGTCGTAAACGAATGTAGAAGAACTGGAAGTATGTGTTGAAAAGCGAGAGGATGAAGACGAACGCAATGAATGTGTGGCTTGTAGTATCCATCAACATAGACATCATTCCTCCTTATACAACTGCGTCCATCGCAAGCTGCACCCAAAAGCGCAAGAAACCCATGTAGTGATCCACCCCGAGACGAATACGCGGATAGCCCTACGAGACGGAGGCTGTGCACTCAGGAACGAAATGCGGGTATCCACTTCGCGTACCCTGAAACCCCTGCATCGCCCGCCCGTTACACTAGATCCGGCGCTACGACGATACGATATACGATGCACGTCTAAAAAATTGTATGCTTGGGTTGAGATTTCTATTCGACACCTCTAAGCCCTCTATGTGACGTTGCCATATCTGCGCCATGTGCCGGAGATACCGGTCAAAGACTGGCGCGACTGTGCTATCATGCTCCTCCACTACCCTGTTACCGCCCTTTACTATCCCCTCTTTCGTCTCAATACCGTCGAAAAGCCTTGAACAATTCCTGCATCTAGATCGATGTTGACTGCTGAGGTCGCCAGTGCGCATTGTCTATTTCCGCTTGCGTGAGCCCGGCAAAGGCAGCCGCATATTTGCTCGCAAGCCACTGCTCCACATGCGACATGGCCGAGTCGACCACGGTCGATGGCTGGCTTGCGGTATCATCTTCGGGAAGTGATTCTGTGTGGTCCTCATGGCCGTTTTCGTCCTTGGGCTCCTCTTCATCCACCGGCGGCTGCGATTGCGCATGAGCGTGAGGACTCGCAGGTGGCGGCGAACCGTCTTCATGACTGTGGTGATATCCGGGTGCCTCTTCATCCACCAGCAATTGCGGTTGCAAAGGAGCGTGAGAACTCAAAGGTGGCGGCGAGCTGGCCTTACGACGGTGGCGAGGTTCGCGAGCCTCCTCATCCATCGGTATCCTTGTTTGCGCAAATGAGTGAGAGCCGACAGTTTGTGCGATCTCTGTGGTGGAGCTTTCGTTCTTTGCGCTGGGTGCAGGAGTTGATTTTGCACCAGCAGCATCTTCGCATGGCGCGAGGTCCATGGGTTTCTCCTTCTCTGTCGGATGTTCCGATTGCGCAATGTCTCGAGGGTCTGCAGTCAGTAACGTCTCCTTGATCGGACCGCTGTTCTCTGTGCCGGATGTGGAAGTTGATCCCGCACCCGCAGCATCTTCAGGAGGCGTAAAGTCCCCGGATGCCCTCCTATCTGGGGGAAGTTCTTGTTGCGCAATGCTCTGAGAATCTACAGGCTGTACAGTCTCCTTGGTAGAACCGCTCTTCTCTGTGCCTGATGTGGAGGTCGTTCCTGCGCCCGCAACGACCTTGGACGGCTCCAAATCCCTGGGACTCTCTTGAACAACTGGTAGTTCTGATTGCATAGTGGTGTGATGGCTCGCAGGCCGTACGGTCTCCTTGATGGACTCGCTGTCCTCTGTGCCTGATGTGGGAGACGATGCCGCGCCGGCAACAACCTTGGACGGCTTTAAGTTCTTGAATTGCTCTTGCCTTACGGGTGGTTCTGATTGCGCAAGAATGTGAGGGCTCGCAGATTGTGCACTCTCCTGGATGGGTTCACAATCTTCCGTGGCAGTTGCGGTACGCGGTTGCGTGTCGATAGCATTCGTAGACGGAGCGGCTTCTTGAGGGGATTTGCGCCCTGTGTCATTCTCCGTAGACTTGAAAAGCGCTGACCAGGATGTAGGCTGCCCACGAGCGGTACTGTTGAGTTCTTTGATTGGTTCGGAGCTGCTCTCACCAGGAATTAGAGCAGACAATCTTGTTGGTTGAGATTTTGTATGGTCCACCCATGGTTCTGCATAGTCCACCCATGGCTTTGCCGATTGCACTTCAGCTCTTTTCGCAGCCGGCTCTACATTCGTAACAGCAGATGCATAGCCTTTCTCTCTGTATGCATCTTGGATACTCTTGCGATCGTCGGTGCGCTGTTTCTGCTTCTGTTTTGGTCGCAGTTTCGCGCGCCCTTGCACCTTTGACCAGCTACCCGGGTCATTCAGAAGACTCTCCTCCATGGCCTTCTTCATGTCATCTTCACTATCAGCATGGAAAGCTAGCTTTCGGGCTGACTTCCCAGCGGGTTTCGACGGCTTGGCCATCAAAACTTCGTACCTGTTGCTTGGAAGCTCTTGAACCGTCTCTTGATTGGTAGGCGCTTCATCGTTAGGAATCGAATCGGCCGCAGACAAGTGACCATCAAGTTCACCGCCGGCGTTGATAACACTGGTGCCATCACGGTCGTGACTGTTGTCGATGGCACTGTCGCTATCCTTATCAGCGTTCCCAGTGACACTGTCACCACCATCACCGGTCTTCGCGGTGACGGATGGCAATGACTCCTTCACCGTGGTTGAGGACGCCTGCTTAGTAGCGTCGGATTTTCCTGTCTTGCCATGTTTCTTCTCCCACCTCGCCTGCTTCTTCCTCTGCTTCTTTAACTGCTCTGTTGACAGCTTCTGCTCCCTTTCCTCCTCCGACTCTTCCAGCGTTGAAAGGGGTGTAGGTACACAAGGTGAAGGCGTAGTCGATAGCTTTCGAGATAAGCGCTGCTTTTTGGTCTGGGGCTCTTCCTGGCCTATAGCTTGCTCTAGGGATGTGTGTTGTTCTTGAGTGACAGGCTCCTTCAGAGATGTCGTTTCGTCCTTCAGTGGAGGTCGTTCATGAGACACAGGATGGTCTTGAGGTGCAGAGTCCTCCTTCGAAACAGGTGACTCCTTCTCGTTAGACTGCTCTAGCAAAGTCGGCTGCTCCTCCGATTTGGCACCTTTGCGCTTCCTCGACTTCTTCTTTTTCGGCTTCTTTTGCTCATGTCCTTCAACGGGGTCATATCCGACGAAGTCCATCTCTTTTAGTATAACACCCTGTCGAGCTTCTGTGAAGAACTCTACCCAGGTAAAGATGGTTTCCACTGAGCGTGGTCGAGTAGCGTACTCTGGAAATTTGATTACATCGTGGCTGTGGAAGTTCTGGACGAGGCTGTGCCATATGGATTCGCCACCAGGATGCCTCTCTTCGAGGTAATCGAACAATTTCTTTCGAGCTTTCGCGCCATCTAGGCGTAAATCGTAGATGACGTCAATGTTCTCAAGACGGAAAGAATCGATCCAGAGGTATGCATTTTCGCCTGTAACCAGAGGTCTAGTATAGATCTCAAGCACCCTCATCGCGTTCCAAAGGGATTTGTCAACTTGGACGAAATCTGGAGCCTTTATCATTCTCTGAAACGCTGCTATTCCGTCTCGCCTGACCCTTTGGCGAATCTTTGCGGGTGCCTGAATGTATCTGTCGAACGAGGGTTTGTGCACCTTCAGAACCCCACTTACAGCGCACCACAATACTTCGAATGGCTGGAGGTCGGGCCGTTTGCGAGCCAGAAAGAGGATGCAGCAACGCATGTCATAATCTAGCATAGCACTGAGGTGTTGCCTAGAGTCTTGATACTCGTGGCTCAGCTTCGTGGCCACGCGGAGCTCAAGGTCTGCCAGCAGGCCGCGTGCCGCAAACAATGGTATGACACATCTGGTCATATGATCGGGGGGCAGCATGTAGTTGTAAAGGATGGTGTTAGGATCAGGTTTGGCCTAAGGATAAATGTACAAAGTCAGTAAATGTTTCACATACGGTGTGTACATGAGGTATTACTACCTTCCATTGGACTTGGTTGTTGTTGATCTCGAAAGAAGCGTCCCAATAGCCCGTACATTGAGGATTGAAGAGTGACATGGGCATTTGACATTTCCGGATCTTTCGGTCCAGCCTTGGAAGACTAGCCAGACGGTACTTGACCATTGGGTACTATACGTTGTCCAAGTCCCTCGCATCTGCCTCTTCAATAGCCTCTGCTCTCAACTCGTAAGAGTTTAGATCTAGAAAGTCTCCAGAGCCCGGAGCGGCCTGAACGAATGCTGGTTGTAGCTGCTGAGCGGCCGATACGGGAAATGGTGCAGTGGTATCCGAATCATCCTTCGGTTCCAGCGACGGATGGGGCGGATCAGGCTCGACAGCCGATGCTTGAGGCTGCTCAGCGGTCGGTCTGGGGAATGGTGGCGTGTCCGAATCATCCCTCGGGTCTAGCGACGGTTGGGGCGGATCAGGCTCGATAGCCGATGTTTGAGGCTGCTCAGAGTCCGTTTTGGGATGCGACTCGATGACTCCGGCAGGTGCGCGCTGCGCCAACCTGAAGAGCGCATTGCGGTATTTCTCCTGGATCTTCAGATGGGTGAAGAAGTTGGCAGGCAACGGCCAGTAGTTGTCGGCAATATGATGGCATATAGCTCTCTCCAACGCACCCCGGCGGTCCAGTGGGACTGTTTGTAGGCAGTCCACGATAAGCTGGCCTATCGGTAGCAGCTTCTGCTTAAGAACCTGAGCGTGCGTCTCGTTGTTGAGGGTCTGATTGTAGTCCTGTAGACTCTCGGGTGTCAGCGCCTTCAGTTCCTTCAGGTCGTCGAGAACGGGTGACAGTATTTCGATTATCAAGCTTTTGTCGTCATATTGGATTTCCGACGCCATCTGCGCTGTAGAGTGATCGTTCGGGCCCTCGATATGGCAGGACGCTTCTGTAAGCGGTAGGAACTGATTGCGGTATAACTTGCTAAGCCTGAACGACTGGAGGACGGACAGCCTAGGGCCTGAGCTGTGTATGACTGCCGGTAACGATGGGCTAGGAATAATCGGTAGTTCTGCGACAACGGGGATCGCCGGACGTGGCGTTGCTGAAGACGTGGCGGCGGAAGCATCATTGCCATCCATGGTTAGCGGAAAGTCGCCTCCAGTTTCTTCGCTACGGTAAGAGCGCTCCGACCCGAGCAGTGGCGTAGTATCGTCCATGGCCGCTTCCTCATCAGAAATTACCACGCGCCTACCAAAGCCCCACCTTATTCCGTGCATATCAGCGTCAGACATTAGTTCACAGCTTCGAGTGAATAGACTGAGGAGAATGGAGAGAAAGGTCGATAGTGTGCAGGTCACGTATTTAAGTGACATTGGCTTGCTAGTTATGCGATATCGTCGGGCCACGTGGTGAGTTAAGAAGGCGCAAGTCGGAAGGAGCGGTCTGGGTGAGGGAGTCGCAGTTGTGATCGCAACAGCGTTTGTTTGCTCGGTGGCCGGACTAGCAAATAAAACTGGTGAGGTCAGAGCAAGCAAGCAGCGCGTGGAACGAGTTTGGGAATTCATGAAAAGTACGACAAAGAGAGAGGTAAAGGTGGGACACGAAGGACTTATATGTACAGTTCGGCTCCGGGGTCATATAAGAACAATGGAATGTATGTATACAAATAGTACAATGAGCGTGCTCAACTCAGCGGGTATGTCTCATAAAATCGTTGACTTACGCGCTCATGTCTTCGTGCTGTGATGTGTCGCTGGCCTTATTATAGCTTGGCTGGGAACAAGACTATCCTCCATGGTTTGGTGGTAGACCATTGACCTGGAGTCGTTCACAGGCGGATTGTCCAGGCCAGCTCCTGGGTCTTACAAGGCGTCAACGAGCGACCGCAGCGTGTCCGTTTGGCGGAATCAACGAGACAGTCGTATGCCCGCTGCTATTTCGGGCATCATCGTCCTTCTCTCCAGCCGATGGGTATGAGCGCCGCCGCGACCTGCCCCACACCCCTCTCTGTCGCAAGTAGGTTGAATTGCGCCGCCGCATTCCTTGTGTCCTGGAATTCTAATCGTATTCCCTGGTCGTTGAGGTACTTGCGGACCGCGGGCGCGAGAGGAACGGTACTAGGGCCGGTGCCAATGATGAGTAGATCTGTCGCTCGCTGTCAGTCCACGTTCGTCACCCGATCGTTGCAAGAGATCAACAAACGTACCAGGCTTCGGATATAACAACTCCAACACTCCCCAAGCCTGCTCCTGCACTTCCCACTGCCCCTTCGCGTTCAGCAATTTGCCTGTCATTGCATCGTCGCCCGTGCCTCCTTCAGCGACGGTGCCTTCTTTCCTGCCTTCGCGAAGCCATGGCTTCCATCGATATGCCTCTCCACCTATCAAGAGAATGCCGCATCCGCTAATGCGCATCTGGTTGTTGAGCGCGAAACCATCGCCTGTGCACGCGTCGATGGATGTGGCGGGAGCGACCGTGTTTCGGAGGACATCGAGAGCGCTGAAATCGGTCTGCGTATCTTCGTCACTCTTTGGGCCGCGGTCGCGCGATTTGGGAGGTTTGGATTGGAGGAGGGCGGGGCGTGTCGTGTGGAGGCAGCGTGCTTGTCGTGCGGACGCGATCGCCGAGGGTCTGCATTTGGGTAGATCACGACACGAGGTCTGGATCGTGCATCTTGAGAACGCACGGGTGCACTGCAGAAGACTTCGTTCCATGATTGTGATATGCAATTGATTGTTGTGGCAGGTGTCTATGTACAAGCCAAAAGTTATGCTAGAGCTGATGATCGATGCTGTCATCGAATCCAAAGAGAGCTCGGACCAGCCGGCAAGCGGGACATCTTCATCCATTGTGCCTCATCCTGCACTCCTTTTGCCATTGCAACTTCCAAGCCAAATGCTCAAGTCATGGACCGCTTCAGTAAACAATGAAACCAGCGTTGCAACGGAATCAGCTCCCACGCGATAAGCTCATAAGCTTTTGTTCCATGGATGCTTTCCACCCCCAGACCACCCTATGCGACCGTTCTTGATTGCGAAGCAGGCAGTGATGCTCGGGGCTCTCATGCTTCCATCAGCGAGCATGCCGGATGTCGTAGTCTTCTTCTTCGTCGTCGGAGTCGAATGCTGACGGAAGATCCTCACAGTTCAGTCCCTCGAACGCGAACTTTTCGGCCAACGTCGGTCTCTTCTCTTCCTTGATGGACACCAGCTCGAACGACCTTGTAAGCTCGGAACTTGTGTTCACTCGCTTCAGTGTCTGCCTGGTAAAACGGACGGGCGAGGTCGTTGGCTGCGTAGAGACCAAGTCAGCGCTTGTCACACACGCAGTTCGTACAGCGATTTCCTTACCTTGGGTCGGGCACCCTGATCGCCTTGCTCGCTCACCGTCGCGATGCTTGTTGATGAGCTCCGCTTGCGCTTGCGAAGGTCTGGAATGGGCTGCGCGTTGTATCTGGGGTCTGGCTTCGGTTGGTTCACACCCAGATAACACCATTCGGAGGTCGGGGGGTTGAAGGTGGATGTCATCCCGCGATCCATGTACAGGTCTGAGGCCTTGAGCTCTCCGGTCGGTGTGACCTGCTCGGGCGCTGCAGTGAAGCCACCCCACTGCGAGAAGGCGATGGTGCGGCAGCCGGGAGGCATGATCGAGAGAGCCATCTCCGGGCCAAGAAGCTCTCGCAAGAACGCACTGCTGGCGGATGATGCCTTGCGCGCGAGATGGGTGGGTTGTGGGATGCCGCGCTCGTCCGTAGACGGTGCTGTGTCTGTCGCAAAAGGGATATACTCTTGCGCAAACATCTCGAGATGCCTTGCTAATGCTGGCAGTTTTGTGGCGGTTGTCAGACTGGAAGATCCGGCTCGCAGCTGATCGTAATCTTTTGGACTGGAGGTTGGTGTTTGGAGTAATTGGGAAGTGAGGTCGGTGGTAAATTTGCAGCAGAGCTTGAAAAAAGATTTGTCGCCATAAGGAGTAGGACTACCTCGTGAAGGAGAAACAATGCGGGTGGCTGGTATGGAGGGCCCATTGTCTGTTCTATTGTCACCCACGGTATGTGGTCGCCTTCACCTGCCAAACCAACCAATAAGAGCAGGTCGAGATCAAAGCCATACCGCCCCGTTCACTTTTCAGTGACAAGATTGTCAGTTGCGGTGGGATATTTAGAGAGTCGTGGGGTGTTTATAAGAAAGAAGAATGCGTTGTGAGACAGCGGTGTGACTGTTTGTCGTATGGGTGGAAGCAAACTGCCACGCCTGACGATGCAGTCACTGGCGCCTGTTGTTTGCATGCGTCGCCGCTACGCACCACGACGCCGGCACGGTATTTACTATAGGACCAGTTGAGGTGAAAGCAGGCAGCACTGTCAGTCACTGCCCCCACGCTGTGGTTCTCGCATGCTGGTGTCTATGCAGCGTCAGTACCATGCACCCAGGGGTACAAACCTCCTCGTGAATAACTTTAGGTAGTCAAGACATCTCTGTGGAGCCTACGCGGACAAGGGCCTTTTGCCTACTCCAAATAAGACTGGCAGACGGGAAGGACGCAGCAAGATGGGAGAGGGGCTAAGGATTCGGCTTGAGTGTCTAGAGTTTATAGAGCACCTCGCGGATGGAGTTTGCATCTTAAGAAAGAAGACTGGTGTCTTTCGGGAGGTCTGCGCCCATGAGAGGGTGTAGACATAGTGCGTCATCGGTCACGGGAAATCGCGTCACGCTCGTGCGCTCTTTCCGCGACTGACATTTCGCTGCCTGATTTCGTTTTTCACTCACCTGGGCAACACCGCTCGGTCCCCACTGTGAAGACTGCCCTCCCCTCTCTACGGCGCTTCAGATCGCACAGCGACAATGTCTTCCAATGTGTACGTACCTTCAATACTATCCTACACTTTAGCTGACCGATGTACAGACGTGAAGGCCGCGTCGTCAAGACAAAGGAAACCAAGAAGTTCAGAAGCAGTAAGCAGGGCGATAAGACCAAGACCAAGTCCAGAGTCATTCGCTGCCGTTTCCTCGAGCTGCCTGCTGGTACGTCCCTCCTTTGCCTTTATGCCGCTCTAGTCGGCTGATGGTTCGCAGAGATACGTAATCGCATATACCACTTCGCAGAAGAGAAGGTGTACAATGAATGGCTGGCACCGCCGCTTCTAGTATGTGAGAAGCTAGCCGGACGTGTCGCCAACCCTGGCAGCTCAAGCCGACTGGGTACTCTGCGCTATCGTGCGCTCACCCAAGTCTGCAAGCAAATCCGAACCGAATATCGACCCATATGGCTTCGTCAATCCTGCTTCCACATGGAACTGTCGGCTGTAGACCGCTTCGTTCACACATACTACCCCAAGGCCACAAGTTACCAGAACGCTCCGAGGCTTCTGCTGATCTCGTGGGACCACGGCCAGATCGAAGGAGAATTTGGAGAAGACTATGATGGTGAAGGTCATTCTGACTGCTACGAGGATTCCATGCAGGACGTGAGGTCAGACATTACACTCTTGATCCGCCTACGCGCACATTGCCCAAGCTTTACTGCCAAGTTCGTCTCCCGTCGGATACTTGAGCACGACGTGCGCAATCTGCATTGCGAAGAGTGCGGGCACAATCTTAATTGTCCATGCGATACCTCCTGCGATCACGAAGACACTTGGGATGAAGCAACCTGGCAAATGGAGGATAGTTACCAGTACTTACGGAGTTTGAACGCATTCCTCGCCAACAGCAACGAGAATTGGCTTAAGCTGCTCCGCGGTAAAGATTGGATGAACACTCTCGTGGAATTTTCTTTCAACATCACTACCCAGAGGCCCACGTTCTACATTCGTTTCGATAAAGGCCGAGCTCCAAAGGGGTTCCAGTTAAAGAACATGTACAGCTATGCTCTCAAATTCCTCACTCGCTCAGGCATGTTGGAACTCGAGGACTATCAATTGATGGAATATGTCATCGGTGAAGAGACTGGGGGTTTCACCCGCAACTCTAGAGAGTTTGGGGTCCTCGAGCCTACCTACAATCAGATCCATCTTAACGATTCCACTATTATTCTATGGAAGAAAGAGGAAGAGGCAAAAACATCCGCATCTTGAGTCTTTGGGCGTTGCCTATGATACGGGAAACTATGAAGGAGATCAACCGTAGTTCATGGTGCCAGAGGGCTCGGGTTATTTCGATCAGACATCGACGAAGGAGACGTTCGCGCGAACACTTATCAGCCTGGAGTAATGCAGTTCATGCTGTCTAGCTGACGAATAGATCTACCTTGAGTCTTCGTGCAGTGAGTTTGTCATGCGCCTCTACTCATGTACGGTGCTTAGCGTGAAGGGTTGGTAAAACGCTGCAATACGAGCTCCTTCGTATTCTCCAGCGGCAAGTGACGCCCCACTCGGCCGCTTGAGTCGGCCGAGCTTTGGCGCGTCGTGCAGTACACCACCGTCGGAGCCTTGCGACCTGTCTACATACAATGCATGTCGCATAACCACTAAAGCATACAGTATTAGCATTTGCTATGAAATCGGTGGAGATGTTGAAACGATGCTGCTGAGCTCAATGAAGCGCTCCGCCACGAGAAGACGCGACGATCACCATGTTCACTAACCTACGAACAGCGTCCGCGTCGATGTTTATCCGTCTACTACCTCAATGAGCATACCTTGACAACTCGGAGGACACCAGTTTATCAGACCCCGCATTTCCAGCACGCCTGATGAGCCGTTGATGCCCTCAACAACAGACGCTGCGCGTGTTACGGCGTGGCGTAGGGTGGACAAGTCGTTGGCCCTGCGCCTCGGGCCGTCCGGTAGACGATTTCTAGACAGGCAAAGGCTACTGCGTACTGTGATCTGGCTAAGTCGCGCGCAATATCTCTCGGTCACCAGTTCGCACGAGGCGCAGCGTCGGCATGCTGTCGTGCTCCCATGCATCACAATACAGGAGCCTATCGCGTGGCTGGCACAGCCGAGCTGAACACAAACCCGCTGACTATAGACAGTGCGACGTCCAATCAGACCCCATTGGCTGCAACTGCATCACCAAAGGACTCTGTATCCCTGCGGAGTCAGCAACTAGGCAGCATTAAATGGCAAGTCTCGGTCGAGGGCTGCCATGGGAGGCCGACGTCCCAAGGCTGACATGCCCTGCGCTGTGTTGCTACCCGTGTATATGTAGCCCAGCTCTTTTCCAGGGATGAGCAGCTGAATCCAAGTCCTGCGCTCTTTCCTCCTCGTTGGAAACCAAACATCCGGTCTTGTCACCACCCTACTAATTTTGCTCACCATCACGCAGACCACGACGATGGCCTCCGATACATCAGAATCTCTCCCTATCCCTCAGCCTCCCCCACACTTGTTCGTAGGCAATTTCGCTGAGATCGATCCGAACGACGCTCCAGGCTCCTTCCAACGACTTGCGGATATCTATGGCGAAATCTACCAGCTCCAGTTCCCAGGGCGCGACGGTAAGGTCATCGTTGTGTCCTCATACGATACGATCAACGACTGCTGCGACGCCGAACGGTTCGAAAAGCCCATCAATGCTACTCTGGATGAGGTGCGAGCTTTGACCGGAGATGGCCTGTTCACAGCCTATCCCGGCGAAAAGGTACACTTGACATGCCTGCTGTGATCGCAGATGTGCTAATATCTGCAATAGGCTTGGGGCGTCGCACACCGGCTGTTGATGCCTGTGTTTGGGCCAATGGGTATCCGCAAAATGTTCGACGGCATGATGGACATCTCGACGCAGATGCTGCTCCGGTGGGACCGGTTCGGTCCAGATCATGAGATAGAATGCGCCGATGACTTCACAAGGTGAATATCATCCATATCTTGCCAAACGGTGTCTTGACTAACTACTTCAAGGTTGACCTTTGATATGATCGGGCTGTGCGCGTTTGGCTACAGGTTCAATAACTTCTACAGCAATAGTGCGCATCCTTTCATCAACCAGATGGTGGAGGTTTTGGTGGAGTCTGGCAGACGAGCCACACGCACGTCTATCGAGAACAAACTCCGAGTCTTCGCCGAAGCCCATCGCCAGGATAACGTGAAGAAGATGCATGATCTATGCGACCAGATTATCGCTGATCGAATCGCTCATCCTCAACCAGATGCTAAGGACCTTCTCAACCCCATGCTTGAGGCAGTAGACAAGGAGACTGGAGAGAAGATGACGAAAGAGTCTGTGCGGTACAACATGGTAACCTTCCTGGTTGCTGGCCATGAGACTACAAGCGGCACTCTGGGCTTCTTGTTCTACCACCTACTCAGAAACCCGGATAAATACCTGAAAGCTCAACAAGAAGTTGATCAAGTCCTCGGAGACGGTCCCTTGGAGCTGAAACACATCCCAAAGCTTGAATATATCAAGTTCGCAATCTACGAAGCGTTACGTTTCCTCGGCCCCATTGCGATCAACGGAAAGCATGCGCTGAAGCCCACGAAAGTCGCGGTAAGTCCATCTCATGACTACTACAGTTAGCATCTAACAATTGTAAGGGGAAATACGAAGTGCAGCCGAAGGATATGATCTTGATGAACCTAAAGGGACTGCATCATGACCCTAAAGTGTATGGCGATGACGCGGACGTGTTCCGACCCGAGCGTTTCCTGAACGGTGGTTGGGAGAAGCTTCCACCGAACGCATGGAAGGCGTTTGGCGACGGAATGCGCGCCTGCATCGGCAGAACATTCGCTGAGCAGGAGATGATTATGGTTGTCGCACTCATCCTACAGAAGTTTCAAGTTGAGCTCGCAGACCCCGGTTACCAGCTCCGTACGTGCTTTAATATCCTTGAGTACGACAGCGCTAACTCTATCTACCAGATGTGTCGGTCACAATTACGCAAAAGCCAAAGGATCTCAAGATCAAGGTTCGCAGACGTCCTGGGCGCACGATGGCTAGCCTAGGTGGGGCTGGAGGCGGTGCCGCCGTCACAAAGGAAGTCAGTGAGAACGGCCCTGCCAAGGCCGAAGAAACGAATCTGCCTACCAGAGATGTGAAGCCGATCACTGTGCTCTACGGATCGAACGCCGGCACGTGCAAATCATATGCCGAAGACCTGGAGACAAACGCCTCGCGATTCGGATTCAAGGCGAACGTCGCCAGTCTCGACTCAGCTACTGAACACATCCCCAAAGATCAGCCAATCGTCATCATCGAGCCCTCGTACGAAGGAAAACCAGCAGACAACGCGAAGAAGTTCGTCGCTTGGCTTGAGAACAATGCGACGTCCAAGCTGCTTGAAGGAGTTCAGTATGCCGTCTTTGGGGTCGGGAATAGCGACTGGACCCATACGTACCATCGTATTCCCAAACTCACCGACGAATTACTGGAGAAGATGGGGGCTAAACGCTTCACGGAAACTGGCCTGGTCAACGTGAAGGGAGATATCATGGGCCCATGGGAGAAGTGGTCTGAGCAGATGTGGAGTGATCTGCGTAAATCCAGCGGCACCACTACTGAGGTACTTGGGGGGCAGTTGCAGGCTGATATCACGCCACCCAAGTTCGCTACATACCTCGGAGGTAAAGACATCGGCTACGGTGTAGTGAAAGTCAACAAAAGCCTAGGTGGCGGCGAGGTTGGCCTTACCAAGAAGCACATGGAGATCGAACTACCACCGGGAACATCGTATCGCTCCGGCGACTACATCGTCATCCTGCCGATGAACAGCATCTGCAACGTGAGGCGGGTCATGAAGCGCTTCGACCTGTCGCCTGATGACAATATCGCCATCACAGGCACCAGCAAAACCTTCATAGCAACCGAGATTCCGACCTCAATATTCGATTTGCTCATGACACGTGTGGAGCTCAGCACACCCATCTCGCAAAAGCAGTTACAGACTCTTGCCGAAGCCTCACCAGAAAACAAAAGGGCCAAGCTATTGGAGTTAGCAAGCGATGAAATATACAAGAGCGAGGTCATACCCAAGCGATACAGCATTCTGGATATTCTCGAAGACCATCCGGATTGCAAGCTACCCTTCGCAGTCTATCTTGACTCGCTGAAGCCGTTGTCTCCCCGCCAATACAGCGTCTCGTCCTCGCCCCTCGCGAATGTGGACTTCATCCAAACACCCGAAGGAACTACCGCCCAGCGCTTGGTTGCCTCTTTAACGTACGACGTTCACGACGAGGCCGCATGGAGTGGAGATACTCGCCGTTTTCATGGTGTTGCGTCAACATACCTAGCGCGTCAAGAGCCAGGCGAGAAGATCCGTTGCTTCCCGCGTCCTACGAACATCAACTTCCATTTGCCTACTGACCCGACTGTACCCATCATTATGGTGTGCGCCGGTACAGGTCTCGCTCCAATGCGCGGCTTCATCCAGGAGCGTGCAACCATCAAGAACGCCCGCAACGCCAAGGTTGGACCGGCGATCCTCTACTTCGGCTGCCGTCACTATGAAAAGGACTTCATCTACTCCGAGGAATTGAAGCAGTGGGAGGCTGACGGCGTAGTCAGTGTACGCGGCTGCTTCTCCAAAGTCGCTCCCGCGGGTCAGAAAGCGCAACGCGTGCCGGACCGCATGTGGGACGAACGGAAGGAGCTAGCTGAGCTATTCGGGGAAGGTGGCGCGAAGGTCTTCATCTGTGGTAGTGCGAGCAAGTTGGCCAAGAGCACGGCGGAGATGTGCATGAAGATCTATAGGGATACTTTCCCGGGCAAGACGGAAGATGATGCTCTAGAATGGCTGGAGAAGGTCAAGGAGACCAGGTACGTGAGTGATGTGTTTGAGTAGGGATGCTCTAGCAGTACACTAGGCTGTTTTCGGCGTAAGGATCGCGCATTTCGGTAATGTATCTACGACATCTTCTTTTTGCGCACCTAGATATATCGTAAATGATTACTTTCGCACTGCAATCAATTCGTTCTAGAACACAGTGCGAAACATGCCATCAACCCCATTACAAAAGCGATGAAACAAAATGGCTGACCTTGGTACCTTGGCAGCGGAACAATATGCACAGATGATCGCGGCGGAGAAATAAACAGCCAAGAAAGATTGGCGGAGTGAATCAACCCGAGTAGATGCCGTCGTGTGATGCGCCTAACGGCTGTTTTGCGGGGGAAGACGCACCCCGGA